TATACATACAAAAATACTTGTCGTTTCATTATATGTTGAATCCTGATAATGTAAACACATTTTATAATGTACCTTTTAATATTATAACATGTACTGCGCAAAGTGTATAATGAAGGTTAATGAGCGTGTATTTGTAAATCATCAACAGCATACATCGCTGAATGTATTGTTTCTGTTTTTACTGCAAAAAACGCAGAATGCATTTCGATATTGTTTACTGCGCAGAGCGCAGAATGCATTTTATTATTTATTGCGTATCACGCAAGATGCATTTGAATATTACTCACTGCGCAGAGCGCAGAATGCATTTTATTACTTACTGCGCATAGTGCAGAATGCATTTTAATATTACTTACAGCGCAGAGCGCAAAATGGGGAAGTGATTTCATTACTTCGTAATATAAATGTCTTTCACTATTTTCATGTATACTTATTCCTTTTGTTTTTCTATCATTTTTCTTCTTTTTGCTTCAATAATATATTCGGGATCACGAATAGGCATATGTCTCTCCTGCCTTGGATCAAGTAATTCTGGTAGTACGCACTGTTCATAAAATTGCACTAGTTTATTAACCATATTTTCTGTCCAAAAGTCATCATCTTGTACAATTTTTTCCGTTTTTAATCCTAATGGTGTCCATAGTGCGAATATGCAATATTGTCGCTGCGTAATGTGTAATTGTCCTTGTATTTGATAATAATATACATGACTGCGATTCATCTTTTCATCTTCTTTATTCTTATATAAAGATCGCAGATTAGAAATATTTCCTGCTATCGCATCTTCTGGTGTTAACAACCGTGCAGCGAAAGGACATTTGATTTCGACAATTCCGTCCTCTTCTATTAATCCATCTGGAGAAGCGCCTAAAAATGGTATTTCGGAATCTATAAATAATCCGCAACGCTTAATTTTAAGATTCAACATACTTTCGATGTTTTTACGTGCAATTTCTTCGTGCTTAATCCCATGTTTTACTGATTCCACGTTGAGTTCTTGAGGATATATTATCGATTTCACTCTTGAGACGCAAGAAGTACTATTCCTCATTTTACATATATGTCCGAAATGGGAAGCGGTTATCATTTTTGTACGATAATATCGCCATATTCCAGTTGCCGCTTGTTATTTTGTTTTTTCTTCTATTGATACTCGTTTCATTTGCCAATCTCGCAATATATGCATATGTTCTACTTTTCTCAATTCCATTTCTGCTGGTGGAGCATCCGGTTTTTCAGCCTGCGGACCATAATCTTTGTCTGTCGTAGTTTATTTTACTTTCCGTATCACCGATCTTTTCTTTGTGCCATATGCGATTTGTGCATGTCTTTTTTTATTTTCAAACTCCACAGCTACTTTCCCTGGTTTCGTTTCAAGAATATTGCTTAGGCAACTTATTGGTTTACCAGTGTTAAATATGACAACAGCAGCATAACAACGTGTCTGGTATGATTCTTTTAAACCGAAATTAATTCTTTTTCCACCAATACATTTTGATATTACAGATTTAAAAGTTTCAACTCTATTGCTGTCTTTATTCTGCAATAAACTTTTAGCATTCCACGTTAAATATTTCAATGTATTTTGCAGTTTTTCATATAATCCACATTTTTTCAATTGTGGAATATAATTTTCTTTATTTTCTTTCTGCGATCCATCGCAGAAGTATCCAATTTTCGCACATTCATTATGCTCGCCAAAAACGTGACTTATGACATTATTAAGATCTAATTTTAAGGACACAATTTTTTCCTGCATACTGGTCTGCTCTTCCAAACGATATTGTACAGCTTTCGTCACAGCTGTTCTAATTCTAAGTATACGACTGTCAATCACATGTCTTAATTTTCCTAAACGTCCTTTTGTTTTAGCTATATCTTTAATTTTGGTTGCTAAATTGCGCAGTGAATGATTCCGACATTCAATCTTTTCTATAAATACGTCGGGGTACGGATTGGCCTGTATTATTTTCCTATACATGCTGCTGTCTCCATCCGCTATAAATGCGGAATAAATTACTCCGTGCTCTTTTACGCTTTTTTTAAATCCTTCTACGTTTGTATCTGCTTCCATGCTTCTCGAACTACAGTCTCGACCCCAATTTTTATAACATTTATGAATAGCAGGTTCTTTATTTAGCTTTTCTGCTTTTATACATATCGAGCAATATTTATTTCTCACAGACATATGCAGTACTTTACCTGTTCTCGCACCACAAATTGTGCCTACACCAGATAAAGAATCATATCGTCCTGTTCTGTATGATCTTTTCATCCAGCTTCCGTCATCTGGTACAGCTATATACGGTATTCCATTTATTACTTTGTAACGATGCACCCCCAGAAATGCATCGTTCCCGGCAATACCAGCTCGCCGGATG